TACATCCCCAGCCCTTTTTGGTTTGAGACTGGGTCTCGATAAGTTGCTTAGGGTGTCACTAAGTTGCTGAGGCTGGCCACGAACACACAATCCTCCTGCCTCAGTCTCCCGAGTCACTGGGATTACAGGTGTGCACCACTGCACCTAGTTGGGAGTCATCTTTGACTCCTTTTCTTTTCACTGCCCTTAGTCCTACACCCTCTACCTCAGAAATGTCTATCCAACCTGGTCATCTCTATTCCCACTGCCACTGCCACCATTCAGGCCCTGTTATCTCTGCCATTGCTCCTTTTGTCTCCCTGCCTCCAACCCATCATCTGAAGCAGTTTTGACAGCTTTTGATGACTCAAATCAAAACCATGTCCCCCTCCCTACTAGGCACAGTGTCTTCCCATGGTCACCATGCCCTACATAGGACTTCACTTGCATTCTAGGGCACTGAGGGAGGGGCAGAAGTCATAAGAAAGGAGCTTTTCCAAACAGTGGAGATCTGGCCTCTTCACTTACATGCTTTCTACAAATGTACCATGATTCTCTCCCTATCAAATTGATGCCTTTAATCTTTTCTCCAGTCCTTTCATCATCCTTGTTGCTTGTCTCAACCATTTTTAAGTCTGCCAGCATCTTTCTGATCCTTAAGTAAACAGGACAAATCACTCTGCTGGGAGACATGAACTCTCTGCCCTGGCTTGGCCTTTTGGAAGTGATGCTGATTGAACAGCAGACATGCTGTGGGAGGCTGAGCTCTGTTTCTCATGCCCATGGGAAGTGCAACTGCGGAAGGTAATTATAAGACCACTGCATTTGAATCAGAACCACAGGAGCGTGCAGCTTTGGCTCACCTGGGCAGTCTTGAGTGTCTGCAGGGACAGCTGCTGAGCTTTAGGGGACGCACAGGGCAGCAAAGCTATTAGACCTTTATACACTTGATTCTGGTACTTGGGATTACCATGGACCAAAGAATCCAACAGAACTTGCACTTCCTCCTGGGTCTCTTCTGACTTAGATATTGCCAAAAATTCTGCTATGGATCGTACACCTGGGCAAAGAAGAGAAAATGCTAAATTGTAAGGGTCTATGACAACAATCTCTGCTCAAGATTACATAATATGAGCAGAATTAAGACTTTTTCAACCAAGCCTGTTCAATCAAATCAAAATGGAGACTGGTTTTTCATGTTGAATCACTCTTTTGTTTACCTCTAGCTGTGTGGGGCAGAGGATTTGTTTCAGCATAGGTGTATTAAAATCTGTGTTTTATGGCAAGGCACAGTGGTGCACACCTATAATCCCAGGGAAGCAGAGACAGGAGGATCGTAAGTTCAAAGTCAGCCTCAGCAACTTATCAAAGCTCTAAGCAATTCAGTGAGAACCTGTCTCTAAATAAAAATACACAAAACAGCTGGGGATGTGGCTCAGTGGTTAAGCACCACTGGGTTCAATCCCTGGTACAAAAAAAAAAAAATCTGTTTGATTTTGTTTTTGAGATGAGGTCTCAATATGTTACCCAGGCTGGTCTCCAATCTTGGGCTCAAGTGATCCTCCTGCCTCAGCCTCCGAAATGCAGGGACTATAGGTGTGTGGCACCACCACACTCAGCTAAAATTCATGTTTTAACTTTTAATATGGCTATATTCCCAGAAATTTGGGAGACTAAAGAAGGAGGATCACAAGTTCAAGGCTGGTCTCAGCACCTTAGAAAGGCCCTAAGCAACTTAGTGAGACCCTGTCACAAAATAAAAAATAATAAAAAGGGCTGGGGATGTGGCTCAGTGGCAAGGGTTCATTCCCTAGTACCAAAAACCAAACCAAAACAAAAACCCAATGAGACAAACAAAAACAGCAAAAAACCCAAACAAACCAAATAAATCAGTAAATAAGCACATATTTTTACAGCTAGATGATAACACTTGTAGACTGCTCAACAGTTTGCAACGTATTTTGACTACTTCATTTAACTCCAGAAACTATAATGAGAGTAATCCCATTTTTTAATATTTATTTTTTAGTTATAGGTGGACACAATATCTTTTATTTTTATGTGATGCTGAGGATTGAACCCAGTGCCTCAACGTGCTAGGCAAGCGCTCTACCTCTGAGCCACAACCCCAGCCCCAAGAGAGTAATCCCATTTTATAGGTGAAGACACTGAGGCACAGAAAGGCCATAGAGGAGACCGAGAAAAGAACCCTGATGAACGCATAAGGTGGGAAGTGCTTTGAAACAGGGATGTGTGGGTGATGGCATCCTCTTTACATTTCTCAAACATGGTACTTGATAGATCATTGGAATTACTGAATGGTTTCCTTTTTCACCAGACTGCTCTTTAAGGATGGAGACTGTATTTTGTTCATCTTTATATCCCCAGCACCCTTGTATGTCTCTGGCACATAATAGTCTTTTAATCTTTTGATAATTTAATTTTATTTCTAAAGTCATTCATAATTCAATTTCAACAGGATTTTAGGCAGTGGCTAATAAGTCTTTGGTGAATGAATGTGTGAAAGATGCAGAATTTGTTTTGATTTTTTTTCTTTATTTAGTACTGGGGATTGAATCCAAGGGACACTTTGCCACTGAGCTACACCCCTCAGCCCTTCTTCTTCTTCTTCTTCTTTTTCTTTTTTTTTGAGTCAGGGTCTTACTAAATTGCTGAAACTGGTCTTGAACTATCTATCCTTCTGCTTCAGCCTCCTGAGATACTAGGATTACAGGTGTGAGCCATTGGTGAAAGGGGGTATATTTAAAATTACCATTAAAATTTTTGAGTAAATAACAAATATATATTTTTTAAGTATCAGGGATTGAACCCAGGAGGCACTCACCCATGGAGCTCTATCCCTAGCCTGTTTTTTGTATTTTTATTTATAGACAGGATCTCACTGAATTTCTTAGGGCCTTGGTAAGTTGCTGAGGCTGGCATTGAACTCATGATTCTCCTGTCTCAGCCTCCCGAGTCCCTGGGATGGTAGGCATGCACCACCAAGCCCAGCCAGAAAAAAATCTTAAGTCTGGCCTTCTGATGGTGATATGGATAGAAACTAATTGAACCACTGTATGAGATGTTTGCTTGTGTGTCAGTTCTATGATGAATCTGTCCCATAGCAGTTGTGGGTACTGCCACCATTTCACCCAGGGTCCCAGGGAGCGCTGGGAATCAGCATTGCATCACATACAGTACCCACCATAGCTTTCACAAATGAGCTCCTTGTACTTCCTGCCAGAGTTTGCAATAAGCTGAAGTAGCTTGATGGATTCCTTCTTGTCCTCTTCTTTAATTTTCTCCAGTCCAAGTATTTCCAAGAGTGTTAGGACACCTCCGACCTCCAGAAATTCTATCAGGTATCGATTACTGTTCAGGGAATAGAAGAGTTGATATAAAACACTTGACAAGTTTCTTGACACTGATCCAAGGGATTCTAAGGTCCTTTCCTCACATATTTTGCCTCCTATCTAGGAAATGTCCACAGGTAAAGTGGTATAATAGTTTGGAAATTCTTCCTCCTAGCAGGAAATGCTGGGATTAAACAAAGTGGACATTTTCTATTTGGTACTTTCCAGCCTCTGTTTCCCCTTCTTCTTGTAAAGACAGCTTAATTGTCCCTTTGGGAATTGTGCCTATTCCATTCATGAGTCATGTGATTTTGGTGAGGTAAACAGGTGACAGGTACGTCATCCTCCTGAATGCAGAAATTAGTTTGAGGCCAGGCATGTGAACTAAGCCAATCTAATGAGGGTCAAAAGTCAAAATGTTCTTGGGACTCCATGGGAAAGATTGGTTTCTTGTTGGTGTAGCTGAGCTATAAGGATGCATGTCTGAGTTGGGACATGCGCATGTCTGAGCTGAGCATGTCTGTAATCCCAGCAGCTTGGGAGGCTGAGGCAGGAGGATTGTGAGTTCAAAGCTAGCCTCAGCAACTTGGCGTGGCACTAAGCAACTCAGTGAGACTGTCTCTAATAAAATGTAAAAAAGGGCTGAGGATGTGGCTTGGGGGTTAAGTGCCCATGAATTTGACCCTAGTACCAAAAAAAAAAAAAAAAAGAAATAAAAAAGAAAGGTTGCCTATCTGGAGCTCCTGGGAACCCCAGCACACAGAGGCATCTGAATACAGAGAACAAATGGAGACACTGAGGGGAGAGAGGGAGGGAGGAACCAAATACTGATGACAGTGTTTGAACCCCTAGGTCCAATCAGGCGTGAAATATGTACTTTTACCTCTGGGCTCTTCAGTTAAACAAGCCAATAAATCCTCTTTATGAATTAGTTCCCCATAATTCTCAATCAAAAGGGTACTGACAGGCTGGGGATATAGTTCAGTTGGTAGAGTGCTTGCCTCGCATGCACAGGACCCAGGGTTCAATCCTCAGCACCAATAAAAAAAAAAGTTACTGACTAATAAAGTGCTAATGGGGAACATGGGATGAAGGAGCAATTGGAGCAGACTGCAGGGGGACATGACCTCTGGGCCCACCCTGAAGGTTATGGGGCACCTACAGATATCTAGAATCCCAGGTGGTGTGAATGCCAAGGACACCATGAGACTCCAGAATTTCTCTAGAGTGGTACTCACCTGCCCACAGCTGATAAGAAGATGCCAATGGACTTCAGAAGCTTTTCTAAACATGAGCCAGTCATATAGCTGGACAACAAGTCAAAGAGTGCATTTCAGGGTGGTTTTTCCTAGATCCTGTGCCTCATCCTGGGTAGAGAGGTCCAGGAAAACTAAGCAGCTGGAGTGCACCCTTTAGCCTGAGAGGAACCACTAGCTGAAAGGGAAGGGGCAACACACAGAGGATGGGTGCTGTGTTGTTCCTTTTTCTCCAGGAAGTTCCTCCATTGTAGTTTAGCCACCTTGGCTCTGACAGGCTCCCTAGGGAGCAAGGATGCTTGTATAAATCAAAGGTGCATAGAGAAAAAGCTGAGGGTCAGTTTTTCAAATCTCTTTAAGCCATGATCCTTGCACTGTTGTATCTCAGTATAGTTCACTATTTGGGCCCTATTCCTAGACTTCTCTAAAAACAATCAGCTTCATCATTAATTCTCAATTGTATACTTGCTTAAAGTTTTACATTGGAGGTCACTATCCTTATGAAGAATTGCATAGCTTCCTAATAAGAATAACAGGAAATGGAAGAAAAATTAAACTCTGATTTAAAACTACCTCAGTATTTAATGTTATTTTTTAATGTGAGTCTTTGCAAAAAGCCTCATTGTAATAAAGCACCCAGAGCACGCATCAGCTCGGATACTAGGTATGAAATCAAGCCACAACAGAAAGGGAACCAGTCAACAATTACTAGGCTCATAACACATCACAGGCTCTTAGAACACTTAAGAAATTAGCTGAAATTATTGCAGCTCATGGAGGATGACTGAGAGCTTCCAAGACTGATAAAGGCTAATGTAATGGGTTGGAGGTAATGGTGCTTTGTTGGGGGGAGGGTGGGGGCATGAGGCAAATTATCTCTGCTGCACCCTGGTTCCCAGGATGCCAATAGAAGTAGAGACAGATTGGCTCATTAGGAAAGGCTCTTTACTGCAAAAACAGTGTTTGCTCTGGAGCCAGGCTCTCCTGCCTGTTGCCGCCATAGCTGGGGGCCAGGATATCGGCCACATGGCAGTCTCTTTATTCCTACATTATCCCCTCCCTGTTCCCCCATTCTCTACCCTGTTACTAACTCTCCTCCTTTTTTTCAGTAACCAACAAAGCTGACCAACTTTTGTCACCATCTTTTCTCTTTGTCCCAGGCTAGTCTTATTTTCATAGTTACTTGCTATACATATTTCTGGTCTATTATTTCCATGATTTAGTTCTAGAAGGTTGCCACATTATCAGCAATAGCTGATAACTAGTACATTATCAGCAGTAGCTGATAACTAGTACCAAGTACTGTGCTGACTGCTTTGCTTGCATTGTCTCATACAATCCTCACTACAGCCCTCCAGTGGGCACTATCAGTATTTCCACTTAGTCCATAAGTAACATGAAGTAATCAAAGGGAACTGATGGAACTGGGATTTGAACCTCAGAAGGCTGATTGAGAGCCTGAGCTCTTCCTGTCCTGCCTTTGTGCCTGTAGACACAGGGAGTGGGGTAGGGCTGCTGGTGTGGGTGATCTCCCTGTATGGTGTTGCAGGTAGAGCTCTGGGTCTGTACCATCCACCAAGTGGGAGATCCTTTGGGCCAGACAGACCCCGTTCTAAGCCTAGTCTCTGCCATTTACTAGTAAATTACTCAATCTTTTCAAGGTCATTTTTTTCTTATCTATAATAACTGTCACCTACTAGGATGATGTTATGTTCAAATGAGATAATATTTGTATTCAGTGTCTAGAAAATGAAAAAAGACTCAATAAATGGTAACTAATAATTTTGCCATTATTATAATTTTTGGCAGTACCATGGATTGAACTCAGTGGTTCTTTACCACTGAGATACACCACTGGTCCTTTTTATTTATTTATTTATCTCCTTAAGTTGCTGAGAGTCTAACTAAGTTGCTGAACTGGGCTTGAATTTTGGATTCTCTTGCCTCAGCCTCCTGAGTTGTTAAGATTATAGGCATGTGCCATTGTGCCCAGCTTAATTTTGTTATTATAATATATAAATCTGTAGTTGTAGCTGATCTATTCTGGAAGTTTGAGATTATCAAAAAAGGTTTAGGCTTATGTGGTAGTCAGTTTTACAAAAAGATAATGATTCTATATGCATTTGTTTTTCTCCAAAATGTACTATAACTGCAGGGTTGGGGAGGAGACATGGGATCTCTAATTTTCAAAATGCTTTAATCATTTCAGCTGGTCTATTCTTTCTGTTATATTACAGGATCACAAATGTTAGGAAATTATGAGTTGGGCATAGTGACTTATGTATGTAATTCCAGAAGCCTGGGATGTTGAGGCAGGAGGATTATAAGTTCAAAGCCAGCTTCAGCAACTTAGGAGGCCTTAAGCAACTTAGTGAGACCCTGTCTAAAAATAATAAATAAATAAAGGGATGGGATGTGGCTCAGTAGTTAAACACCTCCAGGTTCAATCCCCAGTACCCCCTCCCCAAAAAGTTAGGAAATTATAAATAATTCTAGGTATAGAAACTGAATTTACAACTGTACATTTAAATGATGGTTCCTCCAGTCATTCCACAAGCATTAGCTGAATGTCCACTAAATGTTAGGCACTGTGACTGGCACCTGAGATGTGAAGAATGACAATGCCTAGCCCAAGTGCAATGACTGAGTAAGAAAGGAAGTGGGCTGAACCCAGAATCCTTGGAAATACTAACATATAAGGAGTGGGAGGAAATTCTGCAGCTGAGACAAAGAAACAGCAATAGAAGAAGGACAAGGAGAAGAGAGTTTAAAAGGGGGCAGTGGCCGATCAGGCTAGACTAGGTGAGGTGAGGGAGGCCCAGTGCTTACTTTGGATCTCAAATTTAAGGGGGCATCAAAGTTGGGTGCAGTGGCACACACCTATAATCCCAGAAACTCAGGCAGTTGAGGCTGGAGAACTGTAAGATTGAGGCCAACTTTGGCATCTTAGCAAGATTCTGTCTCAAAATAAAAAAAAATAACAAGGGATGGGGATATAGTTGAGTGTTAAATCATCTCTGGGTTCAATCCCCAGTAACCCCCCACCAAGGAACCAAAAATAAACAAAAACCTCAGTAATAAAATGATATTTCAATGCAACATTTAAAATAGTCAAATTAATATAAAATTCATAATGAATCAAATATCAACGTTTTACATAAAAACAAGATCTGACCCTGCACCTGAGATCCTGCCTCACTCACCTCACCCTGTGGTCAAATGGAAAATGTTAAGTAATTGGCTGGGGATGTGGCTCAAGTGGTAACTTGCTTGCCTAGCATGCGTGAGGCACAGGTTCAATTCTCAGCACCACATAAAAATAAAATAAAGATATTGTGCCCACCTAAAACTAAAAAATACTAAAAAAAAAAAAGAAAATATTAAGACAAGGAAGGAAAATTAGAAGTCTGGATTTGGCTGCACAGAGGTTGCTGATAACCATGGTGAGGTAAGTGTTATGACTTGTGGGTTGAGAAGCCAGATTATAGGTACTGACCTTTCTCAAGGCATGATATATAAACCATAGCATCAGAGTCACTCAGGGCACTTGTTAGAAATAAAGGTCAGGGGACTAGGGTTGTAGCTCAGCGGTAGAGTGCTTGCCTAGCATGTGCAAGGCCCTGGATTTGATCTTCAGCACCACATATAAATAAATAAAATTAAGATATTGTGTCCAACTACAACTAAAAAAATAAAAATTAAAAAAAGAAAGAAAGAAAGGTCAGGGTCCTATACTTAATATGTTAAGTCAGAACCCTGGAGTAGGGAGGTAGCCTAGTAAATTTGTATTTGTTATTATTTTTAATTTTTTGCTGCGCTGACTGTGGAACCCAGTCATGATATTAGATTAGCACTCTATCACTGAGCTATGTTCCCAGCCTTAATTTTTGTTTTAAACCTCTTTTATGCACACCAAAATGAGGACCTGAGAGTCAACTTAGAGACATATTCAGAGGTATTCCTTTTGGTCTGTGTTCTAGGCCTGAATCTGATTAATAATTAAAAAGTAAACAAACCAAACTAGGTGTATTTTCTCACTGAGTTATATCCCCAGTCCTTTTTACTTTTTTAAAAAAGTTTATTTTGGTGAAGCTGAGTGTCAAATTCAGGGCCTTATGCAATGCTAAGCAAGCATTCTACCACTGAGTTACATCCCTAGCCCTACTTTTATTTTGAGACAAGATCTTGTTAAGTTGGCCAAGTGGCCTTGAACTTGTGATCCTCCTGCCTTAGCATACCTGTAGCTGGGATTACAGGTGTGTGCTACCATGTTAGGCTGACTAATAATTTTATCAGTGACTTAAATGTAAGAAAAAGACAGCTGCATTGAATTAAGCCTTCAGTTCTGCCTAGCTGCAGGCTCTCTGATTCATTCATTGCTTTATTCAGCAGACATGTGCCAGCTGTCCTAGATAACAGATATGCAGAGATGGGTAGATGAAGAAGATAGATGTGACTCCTGTTCTCATAGAGCTTACAGTCCAGTGGGGGCAAAAGAGATATTTAGCAAGTAATAACAATCAAATGCTATGACCATCAGACCAGAGGGAGTGCTGTGAATACTTGTAAGGGGAACCTCCAGTTCTCAGGTAGTCTGGGGCTCAGCAAAGGGCTTTCTAAAAAGTGACGTTTAAATTGAGGTCTGAATAAGGGAGGAGGACTTAGTCAAATAAGGAGGGGGTGTTCAGAAGGCGAAAGGGTTCAGGCAAGGAAAAAAATATATAGTAAAAGGGTCTGAGGGCTGGGGTTGTGACTCAGCGGTAGAGTGCTCACCTAGCATTTATGAAGCCCTGGGTTCAATCCTCAACACCTCATATAAATAAATAAAATAAAGGTATTGTGTCCACCTACAACTAAAAAACAAATTTTAAAAAAGAAGGGGGTGTGGGTTGGGTGTGTAGTGGTATACACCTGTAAACCCGTTACTTGAGAGACTGAGGCAGGAGGATTACGAGTTTGAGGGCCAGCCTGGGCAATTTAGTGAGGCCCTATCTCAAAATAAAAAATAAAAAGGACTTGGGTTATATTTCAGTAGTATAGTCTGCTGGGTTCAATCCCTGGTCCTTCCAAACCAAACCAAACAAAACAAACAAAATGGTCTGAGATGAATCCACAGGCAGACAGAAGAAAAATATTCTCAGATCCTCCCATAATGCAAACAGTCACCTCAGTGATGTCCAAATCTGCTTGCAGTCCTGATATGCCTCCAGGGCTCCTGAACACAAGAACCTCAAACTCAGCATGACCCAAACCAAACTAAACTACACCCAAAATTGCTCCTCTTTGATATTCTCTTCCTATAAACCTAGTTTCCCAAGTGAGAAATATGAGAGTCATCCTGAGGCATGAGTGGAGGTGGTAGCTGGACATATAAATATGGAGCCCAGATTCCAGAGGGAAATTATCATGAAAATGGAGGAGACCACTCAGGGAGAATTTGACAGTGTGAGCAGAGAAGAGGGATGTAGACAGAGTCTCAAGGAACAACAACATTTAAGAGAAGGTGTTCCCTTAAAGAAGAAAGAAGGGAAGAACGAAACCAAGAGAAGAGTGTTTTTGAGAAGTGGGAAAGATTGGTTGAAAAATGCCACGCAGAGGTCATGTATAAGGAATGAGAATGTATAGTAACTGGGCTCTGTAATTAGAAAACCATTGGTAACCTTGACAAGACCTGAGTCAGTGAGGTCGAGGGAATAGAGTCAGACTGTAGTAGGCATAAAAGAGAGTGAAAAGGCTGTTCACTCTCCCTGTCTCCACATCCTCTCCTGGTTACAGCTTCACCAGGAGGGGCAGGATCTGGGTGCAACTTATGTTTGAGGCAGGGGTTGAATTTTATTTTTAAGGCAAAAGAGATTCCAGCATATAAAATACTGATGAAAAAAGCTGATAATGAGGCAAAGGGGTAAACTACAGGAAAGAAAAAATTAAAGTCCCTAAGGAGCTGGGAAGGGAATGTTGAACAAATGCAAATTAGCCCTAGACAGAAGGAATATCTACTTCAACTCTGATGGGAGAAAAAAGGGATAGAGGTGAGAATGGAGACACACTTACAGGTTGGGAAGATAGGAAGTTAATGGAGTTCTTGACTTTGGGGATATTTTTATCACCAAATGTCCTGTTCTAAAATATTAGAGAAAATCAAGAGACAAGCTCCCTTAATAATCCTCTCTCTCTCTTTCCTCTTTTGAAATTTCCTATTGTTTCCCCAGTTCAGCAAAGGATACGTGATTCTAAGGCAGGTGATCAAGCGTACAAGGAACAAGCTGGCTCCTTGGGAAAACTCCTGCTCCAATTCAGGGGAAGTCTTGCCTTGGTTGGTTTGAATGAAATTGTTGAGGATGTGATTCCTTGCAACTTTGCCAGCATTGTCCCACTCTTGTAAAAAGCTTAAGAGCCTGCTAATTGCTGCCTGTTCTTTAATAGAAGTCATGATCAATCAGTCGTTCTGGGGTTGGCTACAAAGGGAAGGAAAAGAGACAGGTTACCAGAATGTTGAGAACCATGCAAATCTATAACCTTGTGGGTTTTGCTTTTCCTTTGCCTGCTGAGTCTGAGAGTAACAACATGGGTATTGTTACATGCAAAATCCACTCTAGAACTGGTCATCTGCCCCTTGAACAGGAAAGCTCTAGTTGGGTTGTGATGGGATTAAGAATATCAAGGTAGTAAACATCAGTTCTTTAAGAGCTAAAGGCTTCCTGCCAGGCACATAATCCCAGCAACTCAGGAGGCTGAGGCAGGATAATTGCAAGCTTGAACCTTAGCAATTTAAACAACTTATCCAGACCCTGTCTCAAAATAAAAATTAAAAAGGGCTGGGAATGTAGCTCAATGGCAAAGTGACCCTGGGTTCAATCCCCAGTACCAAAGTTAAAGACTTCCCTGCTGCTGATGCCCATAACCAAAAGAGCACAGGATGCCACATAAATGAAAGCACTTGCTAAAAACTTGGGCCTCTCTCCTGGCTGACTTCACACAGGGTCAGAGATGTGGGGTATTTAGAGATGCAGCTCCCCCTCTTATGCCAAGTGGCTAAGGTAAAGTGTTCTTTAACCTTGTACCTAGGACTTTTATATTAACTCTTCAAAACAACTTTTAAAAAAGTTAGTGGGAAGAAAAAGTTCCTATCCCATAGTTGGATTAATGAGCTGTGGTTTGTAGGAGTCTGTGTCCTTGGGAGAGTGTTTTCAGTGGGGGAGGGAGGGTTTAAAATAAACCCGTTTTCCAAAAATAGTTGTGATTGAAAGTGTTATTATCCATAACAAATGTTAGTGCTGATGGGAGAGAGGCATGTGCGATTCTTTTGTCTAACAGACAAGTGAAAGTCATATTTCACATTATCATGGGGTTTTCTGTGATTTACAGAATATTTGTGAAACATTACGTGCAGAGGCCATGATTGATATGGAGAGAACAGCTTGTGTGTAGGGGAGATGTGTATTTCACAAAGACTGTTCAACATGAAATTTACAGTCCCATAAAGTGCTTCTACATCTTCGCCAGAGATCTAGTTAAAAGGACTTTACAGTCTGAAACATCCTAAAATTGATTCTAAATTAACGTTTCCTCACATGTATTTGAGATATTGATGGAGCCCAGCTATCAGAATTTTATTAGCAAGCAATAACCTGAGGCATGCTGAGACAGACATACATACATACCAACCTCCACTACCCCCAGAGGACACTGGATGTGTGTTCACGTTGGGAGGGTTGTCTATGTAGCCTAGGCGAGGAAGACCACCAGATAGACAACTGTGGATTAGTCTAAACACAAAAATGACCAAAACCTCTCAGATGATGTCATCATCATTGTGAATGCCAATACAGTCTCAAGCCTGAGAATAACTTTCAGAGGCTGTCACCACCTTCAACAGCCACAATGGCTTCAAGAAAATGGGTATGAGTGGCTCTTCTAGACCCCAGGCAGGAGGGTTAAACACCAGCATTAGCTTTCTCAGGATGACTCTCTTTGCAATCAAAGCTCCACGTGCTAACCGAGATGCATCCAGAAATTCCAGGACACAGGGCAGGACACTCTAGGCAGGATGCTACACATTATGGCCCTTCAAGGATTGTCTGGATCTCAGTCTTCCTCCATTATGTGTGTGTGCGAGCGTGTGTATGATGTATATATTATATGTGTGTGTGTATATGAATATAAATATATACGTATAATACACATATAATATATACAATAATATACATGCACTATATATATATATATTGTGTGTGTGTGTGTGTGTGTGTGTGTGTGTGTGTGTGTACTGAGGATTGAACCCAGGGATGTTCTATTACTGAGCTCTGTTCCCAGACCTTTTCATTTTTCAAAAATTTTGAGTCAGATATGGTGGCACACACCCTTAATCCCAGCAGGCTTGGGAGGCTGAGGCAGGAAGATCACAGTTCAAAGTCAGCCTCAGCAATTTAGTGAGATCTTGTCTTAAAATAAAAAATAAAAATAAAAAAGGCTGTGGATGTGGCTCAGGGGTTAAGTGCCCCTACATACAATTCCTAGTACAAAAAAAAAATTGAGACAGACTAAATTGCTGAGGTGGCCTTGAATTTTTAATCCTCTTGCACCAACCTCCCAGGTAGCTGGGATTACAGGTGTGTGCCACCATACCTGGCTGGAGACAAGGTTTTTAAAGAGATGATGAAGGTAAAATATACTAGTGTCCTTAAGAAGAGATTAGAATACAGATACACACTGAGGGAAGACTATGTGAAGACAAGGTAAAAGATGGCCATCTAGCTGGGCACAATGGCGCATACCTGTAATCCCAGTGGTTTAGGAGGCTGAGGCAGGAGGATCTCGTGTTCAAAGCCAGCCTCAGCAAAATCAAGGCACTTAGCAACTCAGTGAGACTCTGTATCTAAATAAAATACAAAATAGAGCTGGGGATATGGCTCACTGGTCAAGTGCCCCTGAGTTTAATCCTCAATATCCCCCCACAACAAAAAAGAGGGCCATCTACCAGCCAATAAAGCTTCAGATGTAATCAGCCTGGCAATGCCTGAGGTCAGCCTTTCAGCCTCCAGAACTAGGAGAAAAAAAGTTTCTGCTGTAGAAGTCAACCAGTCTGTAGTACATTGTTATGGCAGCTTTAGTAAATGAATATGCTGTACTTGATTTAGATAATACATATTTACTTATCTTCTGGCAGTTGAGGAATTCATTTTTTTTTGTATCACTCTAACCCCCATCTTCACTCCCCCATCCTCACAATATAGTTTCTAACAATTTACAGTTAAATCAATGGTGTTTACATTATTGACCAAGTAAATAAACTCTTCACTCAATTAGTAAACTATATTGCATTCTCTTCTTACAACTTGGTTTTACTTGGAGTTAATCATTGTTGTGGTTGGTTTTTAATCATTTAGTTCTAAGAACCTAGAGCTTTTTTTTCTAAATGTTTAAAACATTAGCAGTAATTATTCCAAATGTTCAATCTGTTACTGACCAGTTCCATCTTTTCCCTAGAGACCTCTGACCTCAGACCTGTCTTTCTCCTTTAGTGTACCAGGCTGCTCAATAAGCCTAGTACACAAATGCCTAAACTTTCCTTTCGCAATTCTTCTCTGTTACATCCCACATCTTCCTCCTTGGTTTAACTCCCTTGTTTTGTTGAAGCACTGTTTCTAGTAGCTTCAGGGTTGTGTGTGTGTTTGTATGTGTGTGTGTATCCCAGAAGGTCTAAAAATATCTTTTTTTTTACTTCAAGCTGGACTGGCTAATGTATAACTCTATGTGAGAAATAAAATTGCCTTAGATTGAGTCTGCTAGCTGCTTTTGATGATGAAAAGTCTGATGTCATTCTGATTCCTGAACCTTTATGGCCTTTCACTCCAAATGATTTTAAAACCTTTTTTGAAATTGTGTGATGGTATACCTTGGGGAAGGTCTTTTTTCATTTACTACACTAGGCACTTGCTGGGCTATCTATCTATTTATTTAGGTTTTGGTACCAGGTATTGAACCCAGGGGTACTTTAATGAGGATCTCACCAATGACTTTGACATATATCTTCCTGTTATCCCAAGATTTGCTAGTATAGTCAATTGTGAGGTAGCATGGTCTCTGGCATATAATGCATCCTCAGTAAACATTAACAAACTGACATATGACATACTGGGCTCATAATGAGCACTTTAATTTCCTTGACTCTACACATTAATTAAACAGATGTTCTGGGTGCCAACTCTGAGCCAGGCATTGAAATTGGTACTGGTTAACATACAAGCATAGTTCTTACCTTAAACGTGCTTACAGACTGGCAGGCAGAGAGGCAAGCAACCAGAGGATTATAATGAAAAGGGAAAAGCCCTCTGAGGAGATATATCTCAGGTTCTGCTGAAACACAGAGGAGAGGTATGAATCCAGATTCGAGTTCCAACCCAGCATTCATACTCAGGAGCTAAATCCTAAATTCTGGCAGGGCATGGTGGCCCATGCCCATAATCCCAGTGGCTCAGGAGGCTGAAGCAGGAGGATTGCAAATTCAAAGTCAAATTCAAAGCCAGCCTTAGCAACTTAGTGAGGCCTTAAGCAACTCAGTAAGATCCTGTCTCTAAATAAAATACAAAATAAATTTTTAAAAAAAGGGTAGGGATATGGCTCAGTGGTTAAGTGCCCCTGGGTTCAATCCCTGGCTCAAAAAACAACACAAAACAAAAAATTCTAAATTCTGTGACTAGACAGAAACAATCCCCCTGCCATGTCTATAGTTTTAAGCTCTTCACCCTTCCCACCTGCTCCTCTATCTGTTCTCAGAAGATCTATTTTTGGGTGGGGCATGATAGTGCACACAAGTAATCCCAGTAGCTCATGAGGCTGAGGCAGGAGGATCACAAGTTCAAGGCTAGATTCAGCAATTTAGCAAGAGACCCTCAGCAATGTAGCAAGATCCTGGGGATGTAGCTCAGTGGTAAAGTGCCCCTTGGTTCAATAACCAGTACCAAAAAAAAAAAAAACAACTACTCTTTGGCTTAGTAAAAGAAAAGTTATAGGCCATTAGGCAAGAATGTCCTCATTTTCCTCTTCCTGCTTCCTATATTATCACCATCCATATCTATTCTTCTCCTACCCTCCACACCTCAGGGACCTTTCTCCTCTCTTTTATCCTCAATCATTCCCTTTATTTAGGCATATTTTTCTTGTTAGCCTACTCAATGTTTGCTTATCTTTAAACAAAAATAAGCAAAAATCAATACAAAAACCTCAATCCTACATCTCAGATTATTTTTACTTTACAGCAAAGCTTCTGAAAAACATTCTACATACTGTTTTCCCATTGACCTACAGGGCTGGAGGGTGTAACTCAATGGTATAGAACTTTGCCTAGTATGCTTGAGGCTTGGGTTTCCATTCCAGCACCAAAAAACAAAACAACCTTGCCCTCAAGGGATACAAAATTTGAAGAAAAGGTGGCATAGAACCTTGTGATTTCAGCTGGTCTTGGTGGTGCATGCCTGTAATTCCAGCAGCTCAGGAAGCTGAGGCAGGAGAATCTCCAGTTTGAGACCAGCCTTAGCAGTTTAGTGAGGCCCTAAACAAAGTAGTGAGACTCTGTCTCAAGATAAAAAATAGGGCTGGGGTTGTGGCTCAGTGGTAGAGTACTTGCCTAGCATGTGTGAGGCACTGGGTTCAATTCTCAGAACAATATATAAATAAAATAAAGGTTTATCAACAATTTAAAAAAATTTAAAAGACAAAAAATAAAAAAGGCTGGAATATGACTCAGCACCCCTGGGGTTAATCCCCAGCACCAAAACAAGAAAAAAAAAGTGATTTCAATTCCAATAGTGTGATAAGGGCTGAGTACAGGACACTCCAGGAAGGAGAGAGGGGGATACCTAACCTGGCCTTGGCTTGGATGCTGACTCTTATGGAAGGTTTTTCAGAGAAGATGCCTTCTAGGCAGTCTGTAGCCAGGAGAGAGGCCAAGAAATGTGTTCTAGGTGGAAGGCATAAAAGATGCAATGGCTCAGAGGTGAGAGAGTACAGCTATAAAGAATTCCAAGTGGAAGACAGTAAAATACAATGGTTAGGGCCATGGACTCTGGAATTGATCTTCCACTTCCCTGCTGTATGATCTTAGGCAAGTTCCTTAACCTCTCAAGGTTCCCTTACCTGTGAAAAGGAGATAATAAAATCCCATAAGGCTCAATGAACTACCTAACAGAAAACCCTCAATAGTGCTTACTCTGTGTTTATTGGGGAGATTGTTCTGAGAGGCTGGAGCACAGTATGAGAATGAGGTGGTGATAGATGAGGCAGGAAGAACAGGTGGAGCCAGAGAATGAAGTGCTTCATATTCTCTGCTGCAGAGTTCCCACTCTCTCCTGAGAGCAAGGTGAGGGCATTGAAGGGTTTTAAATAGTGACAAGAAACAATTTTGTTTTAGAAATCCCTCTATTGCAGCATAGAAAGAGGACTGGAAGAGGGCAAGATGAGGTGGGACACCAATTAGAAAGCCAACTGAAATCCTAATAAAAGATGCTGAAGTTACCAGGGGTAGAGAGAAATAGAAAAGCCACATAGGTAGATGCAACAGGATATGGTACCTGATCTTCTGTGGTAGATGAAAGAAGAGGAGGAATCAGGCAGTATACATGGATAACCTTGTTTCCTACTTGGGTCTCTCAAGGAGGACCCCGTCTTGTACCCTCTGTTTTTTATTTTTCAGTGCTGGGGATTGCACCTAGGGCCTCCTTCCACAAGCTAGTTCAAGCACTTTACCACTGAGTTACATCTCTAGCCCATCTTTTCTTTCTTTGCCTTTTTTTTGGAGACAGGGTCTCACTATGTTTCCCAGGCTGGTTTTGAATTCCTTGATTTAAGCCATCCTCCAGCCACATCCTCCCAAGTAACTTGGACTATAGGCATGCACCTCTGTACCTCTTAATATTGAGGATTGAACCTAGAGCCTCATGCATGCGATCATTGAGGCTACATCTCCAAACCTTCCCTTCCATTCTTAATATTACCATATTGGCACTGGATTCTACCCTTCCATCTTCAGTCTTTCCATCTCCTCTAATTTTTTCACTTTTTTTTTTTTGGTGGGGGGAGGGAGAGGGTTGTGCAGGGTTTGAACCCAGGGATGCTTAACCACTGAGCTATATCCCCAACCCTTTTTGAGACAAAAGTCTCGTTAAGGCTCCTGCCTTAGCCTCCAGAGCTGCTGGGATCACAGGCATGTACCACCATTCTCTCAAATCCATGCTTAATCCCCACTAACCCAAATATATTTGGAAACAAAGTCTTTTCTTGACTATTCACTCCCCAAACTTCTACCCCTCCTCTCTTCTTCACCTCCAGATTTCTCCAACAGCTCTCTGTGGTCTACACAATAAAGTCTATACTAAATATGACATTCAAGGCCCCTCAAAATTTGGTGGCAACCTACCTTCATCTCCAGTCACTTCTGCATTAGAACTGACCTCAACTGCTCACCATTCCCAGCTGTCTGCATCTCAAGGCTGCTCTGCCATGAGGAATGGCCAGCTCTTCCTTGCCCTTTGGCAAATTCCCTGAGAAAGCTAGGCTCTCAGTTCCGTGGTCCCATCTATATAACCTCTTCCTTTAATATGCTCTACAGTTTAACCTTCCTTCCCACTACAGTGTGAGTTCCTCAAGGGCAGGGGTTGATCTTCCCTATCTCTGTGTCCCCAGGCCTGGCATAAAAGAGATGTTTAATAAATGCCCACAGAGTGAATGAGTAAAGAAACCAGCCAGCTCCTGTTTACATGGTTATATCCGAATGTCTATGATATGTAGTTCCATAAAACTACCAACTTCCCAAAGCTGCCATGTGCAGAGTGGTGGAATCTTCATCCAAGAAGGCCAGAGCAAAGTCTATGAGGCATTTTACAGCTTTAACAGGAAATAGCAATGTCAGCAGTGGTGTCATCTTTGGACACTGAGGACAGGGATTCAGTGCCATGAACGGTCAGTTAAATTGTAATTGGAGTGAACTGTTCTTCTGCAAACCATAATGTTCTTTAGCTGCAGCCAAATGGCATTCAAGAAGGGGAGAAAATTTTTTGAAATGTCAAGGAAATTATTTCCAATTTGGTGCTCATGACCAGAGACTCTAATGATCAGTGGAAATGAGAAGCAAACAAATTAGCACTAATGGAAAATGGCTTTTGGAAAAGAGGGTTTAATTTATAGTCAACTGATCATGGCATGCAGCATGCAGTAAAAGTCAGCTTCACCAGCTTGATCATAAGAACTGGAGCACACATGGAATGCCAGAGAAAAATGTACGGATGCCATCGTGCTTATTGGAATCTCTCTGTAAGTGGCAGCCAATTAAAATAGTCATTATTTTACCTTGGAGAGAAAATGGTGTGAAAAATCAAAGCACATGAAATTAAAATTCAGATTAGAAAGCTTGGTCCAAATTGGTTGTTTGTGGCCTTTGACCTTGGCAAGGTCTTCTGCAAGGACGACCAGCCTACATTGTCTTTAGCCCAGAGTGGACTCCCTGTTTTTAATTTCCTCTCCATCTTCAGAGGTGATTAATAAATCTGGACCCATCCATAAATCATTTCTATAGCAGCCAAATGGTTCTTCTTTATGAAGGGAAACTAAAATCACAAAATCTCTAAAAACCCCAGCTCTCATGCTAAGCCAAAGGTCCTTAGCAACAAGTGAGGGGAGGTATTAAAAATCAAGAAATCAAGCTGGGCACAGTGATGCATGCTTGTAATCCCAGCTATTCGGGAAGTTGAGACAGGAGGATCACATGTTCAAGGCCAGCTTCAGTAACTTAGGGAGGCCCTTAAGCAACTTAGCAAGATCTTGTCTCAAAATAAAAAGTTAGAACAGTGATGTAGCTTGGTGGTAAAATGCCCCTGGGTTCAA